AATCAGACACCGGACAAACAGACGAATTTCCGTTGTGAAGACTCATCCTTTCAGGATTGAGAATAATCTGTTTTTTTTTATCAAACTTAACCCTTTTTCGTGTTTTCCTGTTATAGTATCGTCATTCTAGTTGTGTCGTGAAATTATGCACTATCACAGGTGATCCACATGTAGCTCAATCAGCGCTTAAAGGCAATGTAAAAACATTTCCACAAAATCTATCAGATATTGCTAAACATCTTCCTTTATCGCCAAACGATCTACCTGATATTATTAAAATTATATTTGTTGGTAAAACATTTCCAAGTAAAGATCAAGCGCAGTCAATTTTCACCGTTCGTCGGGGAACAATTCGCACAGCACTTATTTGGTTGCATGCAAACAATATCTTATATAAGGACATACACATAGATCATTTACTTATTGATACATTACCATCAAATGATATACCAGATTGCCTATGGAATACAATGTCATTGGTAAACCAAACAGAAACTTCAGATATTGAATGCTCCAGTTATGTTGATAATGATATAAATCTCAATGAATTATGTTTAAATGGTGTTGTTCCATTAAACATGAGTGGTTTGCTGGATACGAGTACTACAACGATATCATCTAAAGGCGTAAGGCAACATTTGAAGTACGCACTAGCATTACCGGCGAACTAACAGCATTAAATGATAATATTTATGTTGTACCACATGAACAATACCCAGTGAACGAATATTTCAATACATCATTTTTGCCAGGTATGCAAATCCATTGATTAGTCATCCATGTATATTTATATCAAATATATTTTTTCCAAGGCCTGTATCCGACATTATTTCCATACGGCATAGGTGGTGTTGAAGACGAACACAGACTAGTATGTGTATCATATGCAAAACATATTCGTCATTTCTTGTCTTATCATGACCATCGTTTCGAAATGAATACATCATTTATTTTTGTTACTTTTAACATTTTACTACGACGTAACGCATGCGCTAAATCACGTATACTTGTATCAAGACCATTTTTTAGCTCACAAGCTTCTGAGATAAATCAACTAACAGCTGAAGAGGTTAAAATAGCTCTAGATCAAATTGAGTCGAATTCGAGTGAACGAACATTAAATCCACACTGTAAATGAAAAGAGTAGAATAATAAGCCATTGTCCTTCCTACAAATCATGTTAAACCTTTGAAGGGTTTATGAAACGAAGGGTATATGAAAAAAAGATGATACGAGAAAAAAAAGGGTTTATTAATCTGAGATTTAAGGAGAAGGATATATGATTTTATCTCCAAGGGTATTTTAATATGTGGTTTGGAGAAAAGGGTTTATTACTTTCTTACAAAGGGTATTTTATTTTACGGTGAAGGATTTATTGTTCTACTCCATCATCAAAAGGGTTTTTTTATTCTTCGTTCAAAGGATTACACTTTTTCAACTGATATATAT